GTATTTCACATAGTCAAGTGGTCACCCCAAATCAACAATCGGCCTATGCTGGAGCTTTCATAGATGCAATATTCTTTAAAACCTATCTGCATATCTACACTCACTGAGAGCACATGATCTCACACCACTTAGGTTACTGTATAAATTAGGGATGTTGAAATGTTGATATATCGTGATACAAAATTTGGTGATAGAGTTTGACATTGTGGCATCATGGCCTGCTGTATTGATATCTCCCAAGAGTATTTTTTAATATATTGATTTATTTTGTGACAGCTCTACTATTTTATTGCTTGTTTAGAGAAAGAAAAGTTATTTATGCAACACATTTGACATATTTACCATTCTGACCATGAAAATTGTTGTATTTCATATGAACTTTGCACAAGTACTAGTTTAACAAAGACTTTTAGTATCACAGCCGTGATGTAGTAGCCATGTTGTGAGCCTTTAGAGCAGTTAAACTTGAGCATTCATTAACGGCCAGACTGCCTTTACTTTTTACTAAAAGTATCAAATCAGTTTGGAAAATAAAAAAAATAAAAAATTCATATTCATGCATATTCAATTGTATATAATTGAAAGTGCACTGTATATGTATTGTGGCCTATGGATTGAGGAATGTATCGTATGGGCATCCTCTTGATGATGCCCAAAGACTAAAGCTGAACGCGAGCAAGATCAATCAATATAAATTGAATTTATCCCTGAGGGGCAATTTAAAAACAGAATGAAGCAAAATATAAAATCTTGGCTGTATACATTTTTGATGAGAATAGTAACACTATAATAACTTTTCTGGTCCTGTTCTGTGAGTAACTAAATATGATTACTTTATTCAGTCTTGTAGGGCCTGATGTCTCAATTAAATACACAGTGACTTATTGGAGGACAGAGGATCAAACATTGAGGAGTCCTTACAAATAGACAACTAAAAAGGGGCGTAAAAAAAAAAAAAAAAAAGACACAGCATCAGGCTGCCATTTAAATAAAAGTAATGAATAAATTAGGGTCTCTTTTATCTGAGTCCTAATGGATTTACATCCTCTTCCATGGTCTATGTTGCAAGTGGCAACTAAACACTAGAAACACAGCAAATATGCCATAATCAATGAAGAACAAGAGCATCAGTGCCTCTTGATGATTACACCAACTACATCAACCATATATTTACCTTTTTTGTTTTTACTGAATGATAAAGACAACATTACAAAAGCAGGCTATAGTTTCATGTCAGATGTTTGCTTGCTTCAGGATCAGTCTGAAACTAAAAAGGTAAACTATTTTTTCAACCCATTTATTTTTTTTCATAATTACTTGTTTTACTTCCATTATTGATTCATCTAAGTATTCGTAACCTCACTACATGTGACTCTGGAAATAGGAGATTTTCATACAGAGAACGCTCTAAGACGTGCTACTTAAACAGCCTGTGTAGCTCTGTTTATTGTGGGGATACAGTATTCTCACAACTGAGTCTTGAGACATAGGCTACAATATGGATCCAGTTTTGATTTTCATTATTATTTTGACAAATTTATGCAAATTATCAATAAGCATCACATTTTATAAAATAACACTAACACTAAGCCTTTTCTGATCAAATATAGCAGTTAGGCTTTAACAGACCTATTTTCTTCTTTGAAAAAAATGTTTTTTTTTTTAGTTTTTTTTTTTTTATGGGGCTATAGTTCTATTGTATTGTGAAGCTTGTATTAAACTATTTGATATTATATGGTCCGGTTAGTTTTCAATAGGTCTTAACGTTGATCATTTGGAGGTTCAGACCTGTATTTTTGCATCATACCTCAACATGTTTCAGCTGCCCTCTTTTGCCATCCTCAGAAGCCTCACATGATTCAGTATTACATTGATTGTGTTTTTAGATCCCTACTATATTTGCTGTTATGGGAGTTAAGAGAGTACATAATGTAAATCAAAACTAATTACAGTAGAGCTGATGAAGAACATGCATGTAAACTTGTTTTCTACTGTATACTTTCCAGTAACTTATTACATCAAACAATGTAATTCAAATCCTACATGTGGACAGAACCAAACCTGAAGTACTAAAAAGAGGATTCACAACACCAATGTGTACCCCATTACACCCATAAAGAGTGACTTTGTGCTACTGAAACAGTGGTTTACAGACACACACCCCTCATAATTTGGTCAATAATACTACACTTACCCTCGTGTTGGATCCAGAGCAATGGCCCGGGGCTGATCGAGCTCCTGCCAGAATAGGACTTTTCTCAGAGATCCATCCAGTTCGGATACCTCAATTCGATTGGTTTCTGAGTCTGTCCAATAAAGTTTATTTCCTAACCAATCACAGGCAAGTCCATCTGGAGAGGCCAAGCCTGCAATAACTGTCTGTACCACACTGGCCCCTGACTGGTTGTAGACAGTGCGTTTAATAGCCTCTTCACTAACATCGCTCCAATAAATAAACCCCTGTGAGAAGACATAGTCCACTGCAGCAGCATCTTCCAGCCCGCCAACCACCACTGTAGCGTTGGCCTTCTCATGTGCCACATCCACAACCCGGAGGTCTCGTCTGTTGGCATATAGCAGCAGAGGCACAGCTGAGGAAACAAAACAAGTTTGTATCACTATTGTGCAGTGTTACAGTAATCACCAGTAACATCATTCTAAAACTATTATTTAAAAGAAAGAAATATACAATATAAAACTAGAACTAGATATTTACATACACTGTATGCGATAAAAACACTATGTACCCATTATCACACATCTCAGACAGAATGTTTTATAGGTTGCATTAAAAATCATGACAACCACTCAAAATACCCACACTTGATGCTACAGCATGCAGATCGTAAAAACTGTGTTCCCATTCCAGGCCCTCAAGCTTCCTATTGAAAAATAATGTCACCCAAAACTTATATATTTGTCCTGTCAATTTGCAAACTGTAATGAGCCTCTTCTGTTTTTGGGGAGGGGGGGCTCTCCAGTATGTTTGAGCCTCTTCTGTTTTTGGGGAGGGGGGCTCTCTAGTATGTTGGCTGGATGTGTGTATTTTTTTTTTTTATACTTGGCTGTAATGTTTTGAACTGACATGTGACACTTTGAGGCATTCTGGAGTAGTTTCCAAAGATAAACCATTCACATAGAAGTCAATAACATTCTGATTTTCTTGGACTTCAACAATTCATGTTGTGACACAATTAAAGGAACAGTATGCTTCATCTACACAGACATGCACAGATCTGTAACACACCTATCAGAAGCTTTCTAACCATGACATTGTTATGATCTTTGTAGTCTAAAAATCTTTAAGCACAAATGTGTACATTTTGACCTAGAGATAAAAAAAAGAAATAAATGCTTACTGACCACCCACTTAATATTGTCTGATTTGGTGTTAAATAATACATTTTTATAATTGTATGCAAAATTCTCGTTCTAGTTTAATGCATGCAAACATTGTGGATTGCATACAGGGTTTACAATGTATACAGTGTTTCAGAAGCAAAGGCACTACCAGTCATAATTTGACATTTCCAGAGCAGACACACCACATAACTGGAATGGTTACAATGAGCCCCTCAGCCTTGGGTGGCAGTCCTACACGAGTTAGGTGATGAGTACTTTTACCAAATATATAATTTATTAACAATGTATTAGAGGCTCAAGTACCCCAACAGCTAAAACTACTTGAGGCAGCACCCAGTCCCCACCATAAAGTCCCTGTCTGGCTGAATAGCCATTGCACTAAAATCCATGATCTAATCAAACCCGATTAAAACAGCATTAATAAATGGTATATAGATTGCTTTAGATGTACAAAATAACTAATGTTGGGTAGAACAGTACAGTGAAATCCAAAGGTATTTTAATCTGAAATTGACAACTTTAAAATCTAGGACTATTAAAAATGAGTGGGGGTTATTAGCCAAACAAAGTTGCATGTTGCAGTGTAAACAACAAATAAATCCGCAATAATTCAGTGCCACTATACATATAAACAGATGTTCATGAATATGCAAACAAATAATTCGATTATTGCCAAAGAGCAATCATCTGCTAGCTCTCCATAGCATTTGTTGTGCTAGCTGGTCCTGTTCTAAGGTTTCAAGTAATGGTTGCAAGCTGTTGGACTTACTACATCGAAAGTTAGCCAGTGCTAAGTAAGCTCAAATATATGCCCTGATCTCTAACTGAACTTAAATCTCTGACTTAAACCTTGACTACACTTGGGCATTTTCAGATAAATTTGTAACCGCAATCTGTGGTTTCATTTGAATCTCACAAGAGGAGATAAGCACGCATAGCTTCATTGGCTAATGCTAGCTCCGCACACCACAACTACCGCGGGCCTGGGTCTGAAAATATCCTATTTTATCAGGCATTTAACTGCTGCACTAATATCTGGAATTTGTTATTACAACAGTAAACGAACTGAGGTTTAGACGCACAGAAAATCGTTGTGTTAAAGACAAATCTTACCTCGTATGAGAAAACAAAAACTACTAAACAACAGAGTCCGCAGCACGACACCCATCTTTCTCCCTTTTCTTGGCCCTGTCGCCGCTTCGCCTCAGCGCAGTATTCCCATCGCTGCGGCTACTTCCTTCGATAGAAATGAAAATATTCCACTGCGATTGAATTGTAACGCAACTGCAAAACGATTTATTAATCCCAAACTTCCATCTTGACTGGTTGGCTGGTCGCTAACTACGTTGGATCAACTCTCTGCGCCTCACATTGTCCTGCGGGAAATCCGTCGTCTCCTTCCGCTGTGAGGAAGCTCATTCCCCCGCCTCTTCCCTCCCTCCACTATCGCCGCGCTCCTCGGCCCTCCTGTTTTCCATTGTTGTGTTCATTTCATGCTCTCAAGCCAAAGATAATGTTACAGAACCGTAAACGCCTCACTGCCTACTTATTTTACTGTCGCTACGTGGGAACATATCCCGTGGATATCTGAATGTGCCACTGACTGCCGGAGTTCAGCAAAACCGCGCAGAAACCAAACAAACAGGCGCATTCCAATGGGACTAGTTTATCTGTGAGATAATCTTTTATCCTTTTGTCAACTAAATATGCAACATCAACTCAAACAGTATTAATATCAATGAAAAGAGGTTTAGGCACAACGTACCAGTGTAACTTCCAAAAGGACAGGGGCCCACGAAACAAGTAGGAAATTCTCAGAAGCTATAAAACAAGTTTATAATTAACAGCCAAATCAGAAAAATACAACAAAAATGATGTCGTGTTGGGATGTTTTCCTGTCTTGAATTGGGTTTAACAACTTGTTATATATTCATTTTGTTATTTAGTCAAAATACAAAGGTTTTATATTAAAGCCTAGGACCATTTTTGTAAATACGGTTGTAAATAAAGATTATTCTAACAGCGCTTTAAGTGTAGTGGAAGCGCAAAAATAAATCAAAGGCATTAGCCTAGTATTATTATATAACAGGGTACACAAAAACGCCATCAGTACAGCTGTGACATGTTGAAAAAACACTGTTTAATCCTTACAAATAAAAGTTCAAATTTAAACTATGCCAAGGTATCACTTCACAAAACGAGAACAAACTATCAATGCAAATCAACAGTAGGCGAGAGTGCAGCCTGCAGCCTAGTCCTCAACCAGGTTTCTGCTGCCCCCTCCTGGTAATCTCGTGTCCTAGCATGTTTTGCCTGCGCACTTCCAACCTTCATTCCTATATGTATAATACAATAGTAATAATCTCCCAGTGCACAACCAATGCACCTATGAAAACATTTTACTTAAAAAGAAGCAGGTTATAGGCTATTAATTAAAAATAATGACAATATAATAGTGCAATGAATTTTAAAGATTGCATTCACATTGAATCCAATCCACGAGTGATTATGTGGACATAAAACCACACAGTGAGATAGTGAGGCTCACATTTAAGTAAGTGATATCACCATTAAGCTTGTATGGCTGTGGCAAAGACATGCATTGCGTGCGCGATTTATGGCAACACACAGTCACCAAGAGAGTTGCTTTCTGTATCCTGAGTATTTAGGAGTAAAATATTGCTTCACACTGTCTGTAATTTACAATGATAGTTTGAACATTTGTATGGACTGAAATGCATCATTTAAAATAAGGTGGCCTAACACAATCTAATAGTAAAACAATTCAGAATGATTTAGAGACATGTAAAACATACTTGCCCAACACAGTGGGACCAAAATCAGCAGAATCAGAGATTAACACTTATAAAAATCCCATTACAGAACAAAACAAAATTGAACCTGCATTAAACCACGAAAGCATGATGAAAGTTTCAAATCTATGTATAATAATGTAATTCAATGAACACATACTCCAAATCTAGAGATTGTTCAAAACACATTTGGCAAATCAGATAGCCTTCATGGTGGTTAAATTGTGTTATAATTAAACTATGTAATCCTTAGATAATAGAGGTGATGTGGCTTATGCCATTATATAAAACGTGAATAAAGAATGTTGTGCCATGTGCAATTGCTGATCCTGCAACAAAGCGGCCTTTAGCTCATCAAGCCTCAGGGCCAGAGTTCATGGCGCAGGTGCCATTCTCAAGTGATCACTAATTGAAATATGTGAAAAAAATTATGGAAGTTTACCTATATCACAGAGTCAAGAGCTGCTCTGCTGTACATCCACAAAGTCTTACAAATTTCAGTGCCCATAATACAACATAAAGCGTTGAGTATAAATTTAAAAAAAATATTGGCTCTATTAAGCATGAGGTTGTTGGCCTCACACTTCATAGTGCAAATCATTGAGCTCCAATCTGGTATAATGACGCCTGTCAAAGGACTCCATCGCCTTCCTGCCCCCTATAGCCAATGCCATCGTTAGCACAGCAAGTCCCAGTACCATGAAGGCCACCACACCACTTTTCACTGCCCCATGGCCCATTGTTGCAGCTTTAGCCTGACTTTGGTCCTGCAGTGGGTGCTCTGGTTGGACCACACCTTTAGGGACAATGAGTAGACTGACTGCAGGAGTAGTAGTTATTAGATTGAATTTCTCCTTTGTTGTGGTGGAAGCAGTCGGAGGAACAGTTGCAGTTGAAGTAGTGGAAGGAGGAGCTGTTGTTGGTGTAGTAAGAGTAGTGGTTGTAGTAGTAGTGGTGGTGGTTGAGGAAGGAGTGGTAGTAGTAGTTGTGGTGGTTGTGGGGGTAGTAGAAGGTGTTGTGGTAGTAGAAGGTGTTGTGGTAGTAGAAGGTGTGGTAGTTGTGGTGCACAGTTCTACTTTAGGTTGTGATATCTCAGCAGTTCTATATGCATCCTCTTGGTCAACCAAAGTAACATGAAGTGTTGTAGTAGCGCTTGCAGGTGCAGGTGTGGTTTTGGTGATCACTGGATGCAACCTTCCCTTTTTTGTATTTTTGTTTTGCTTTTTGCTGGGTTTGTTTGGTCTTCGTATTGTAATTGATGTAACTTCTGTTGTGGTAGTTGTCGTGGTGGATGCCACAGCAGGTATGGAGGAAATGATAATTAAACGTGGAGGAGGCTCGCTGTCCAAGGTTGGGGTTGTTGTGGGAGACTGAGTGGTGGTGGGGGGCGGCATTGTGGTTGGGGTCTGTGTTGTAGTGGATGTAGGTGTCGTTGTAGTTGTAGTAGGTGGAGTTTGTGTTGTTCTCGGAGTAGGAGTACTGGTCAAGCCCATAGTAACACTTGGTCTCCCTGTTGTCAAATGGATCAGTCCTGCATAAGTAAAAAAAAACCAAACAAACAATTAAACAGTGCTAAAATTTGTCATCATTTTAAAACTCTCTCATGTAACTTAGCCCCCACCCAAAAAACAAACAAACAAACAAAAAAACACCAACAACAAGAACAAAAAAACAACTAAATAAAAAGAATGTTCTTTCTTTTTGGATGTTTTGGACACACTAAAAGCATGCATCCTCTGACCATGCTTGTATTTTTACAAAACTGGCTCTTATTTGACCTGAAGGAAGGTCTTCTCCTGCTTGTTTTCATGATAACTGTGTTCCTGTGGCTATAATATTCTACACTATGGTTATAATATTCTACCGTATCGCAAATGCATCTATCTCCATAGAAAAAATTATGGGTTAAACTTTTTTTTCCCCATGGACTCATGCAGGTGACATGCTACATCTCGAAAGTTACAATGTTGCTTTAAATGAAATGGATTATTCAAGCGCTGGATTTTAAAGATAAAAATTATGATTATGTCCTCAAAGGTTTTATCTAGTAAAACATTTTAACTTCATGTAATTATTGTATTTATATTGTAGACTTACCTTTGTAGATATCGTATGTGTTAATGCCATCCACAGCTTTCATTAATGGACAATCCTGCTCGGCCGGACAGTGGAATAAGAAGCAGTTGTCGTCACCAGGCTGTTTTTTGCCATTAAATACAGCCATGTTGCACTTAGCCCCTGTAGGAATTCAACATTTTGTTAGACACAACAGGAGTATATTTGTTTGATGGGGTAAAGATGTTCATTGAACATACCTTGCTTAACTTCCTCAGAGCAACATGCTAGGACACAGTCTCGCTCTGACCGAACCACTCGGGCATCCATAAGCACCCCTTCCTTAGTTAATGCCTGTCTTACATTGACTATAGCTCTCTGATGTTGTCTTGAGTAACAGGTTTCTGGTTCCACAGCCGAAACACATTGCACAATCATTTGCAATGCCAAGACAGCAGCTAGCATTCGTTTCCACCCTTGGTGATGGGGAATTAATAAAGTCATGGCAGCGGCCAATCAACACAGATCTAATCAAAAAGAGACCGGTGTCCAAGGAAGAGAAGCAGATATCCAAAAATGTCCTGTTGGAGAAAAAAACAATTTTATCAGGAAGTTGAATCCAAATGTGTAGATTTGTGTAAATAAAATGTATTGTAATGTGAGTCATTTCTCATATGTTTGAAGATAATGCAAATAGAGATAACTTAAAATAATTTGCTGTCACAAAGTCAAACATCTTAGCTGACAACAGATGTAAAAGAACTAAATATAACAGCAGAGTAAAAATAGACAGCTAAAAATGGCACTCTTGAACAAGGGCAGTTATGATTTAACACAGTGCATCCTACACCAATATCAAAAGATTTTCACTACATTTTTATCTGTTTATCAAAACAGATAAACATTGTTGTAAATTAGCTATTTTGGGAATAAAAAACAGTTCAACATTTTATCGCAATAAGTGAAATGTTTAAGCACAAAGGACTCACCAGGGTGGCAGTACGAGTTGTCCTCCATTAAGAGTTCTCAAGGTCCACAGTCCACAAAACAAGACTTTACTCCTTCACCTGTGTGGAATAGTCAAGCTTTAGTACTTCATATCTCATGTACAGCTGTTCCAACCTGATACATTATCTAACCCACTTTGGGGAGGTGTGTCTACCTTGGTCACATAAAAACCCTTGAACTAAACTATAGCTATACAGGAGTCACAATTCAGCTTTCTCTATGAAACATGCTAAATAATGCATTTTCCCCTCAAAAACAAAAAAACGCTACAAGAATATTCTACATGTTATGAATGTTGGTAACGTGCTGTTATATCCATAATTTAGGATCTACTACCTTCTTTGCGCTATTAATTTCAACTCAACTCTAACAACTCTAGTAGCACATTTATAGCAAAATACACACACAAAATACACACAACAAACATTCAGAGTTATCTTTCCTTTAATGCCAAAGGTCCTTGAAAAAAAGGCCAAAACGAGCAGGAGGTCTAGTAGCCCATCACCAAGAGCCAAACGATCAGCTATATATTGTTCACTTCAGTCGATGGCTAATTTCTAATGTGTGAGCTTTTAGAGTCTTCTCAATTTCATTTTAAACAAACAAATGGACCAATAGGTTAACACTAAGAACTTATCAAGAAGAGCAGTGAATAATTTTTCTAAATGGTTGCAGGAAACATAAGCCGTGTAGAGTAGGCTACCTTGTTTCACCAGGAACGCATCCATCTGTAGCTTTCTCTTCGGTTCATTTCAACGAACAGCGCAAACAAGAAGCTTTACCCGAGCCATCATCTTGAATCAAACGGTACAAACACACGGATGTCTAATACACATTTGTCTTTTCGCTAGAAACTCAGATGAGGCGAAGCGGTTTAGGGAAGACCGTGATTCTAGCGAGCAGCATCTTGTTCCCAGTCTGCAGGATGATGGAGTACATTACATGATGGCTGGTGCGGAGGATCTGCTGCGCGCGTGAGTCTGACCCATTTTAGTCTTTGTCCTCCGGAAGGGGGAGGGATGGAGAGGGGCCCAACATCACCAGCTCTGGCTTCAACACGGTGTTTTACATTAACCCATTTGAAAAACAGAAGAAAACACTTCACATTTGATTATCATTTAAAGATTTAAATTCATTGATGAAGCGTAATAATGCTTCTGTATAAGCAATAGGGCTGAGAACAACTTTAATTCCACATGGTAAACAAAAGCTGCAAAATTATGTTGGGGAGGCAACAAACAAACAAGTGTTCATAATAATGTTTGTAATAATAATAATACATTATGGAAAATTGCTTTATATACATGTGTTTACTATTGCATAATGCATGCAAAAACTGTTATTTACCGTACAGATTCCATTATTAACACATAAGCACACACTATAATTGACCATGTTTGTGTGTCCTCAAATGTCCTGGAGAAGAAAGATCAAACATCAAAATTACTGCTTGCATAAGAAACAGACAGTAGAAGGAACCCTTGTGGACAAGTGTTGCACATTCACTCTGTGTCTGCCATTTCCACATCCTCCTGAGCCACAGTGGTCTTCTTTGTCTTTGTCTTCTTGCTTTGAACAGCAGGTTTTTTTTTCTGTGATTCTTCAACTATTTCAACTGTGGAAGGTAGACATTTTTAGATAATCAAGAAGCCCAGTTCATGTCAAGTATAAAAAGCGGCACGAAAAAATTTTACTTCTCAGTGTACTTTTCAGACACTTGCTGTTTACTTCTAGTTGAGTAGTGTATTTGACAGTGTAGCAATACTCTTACTTGAGTAAAAGTTTGAGTAAAAGAGATAGAGGACTACATACTACATACCATACTCCATACAGATGTATAACAACTCACCTTTATGTAACAGATAAGCCTGTGTTTCTGTCAATCATCTTATTATCTTCCTTATGACCTCTTGTATATAACTGTAATATACTGTCTTTAAATTACGATATTTGTTTTTTACTTACTGTACAAACATTTATATAATTTATGTCTTATTGTTTTATTGCTACTTATTTACTTATTTAGAAGTTTATTACCATTTATATTTTTTACTCCGTGTTATTGTAATATAATGTGATGTGTGAGCCACTGTGTCCAAGGAATTTCCCTTGTGGATCAATAAAGTCTATCTAAGTCTAAGCATCCCAATGTGAGCAAGCCTACAAGAGAAAGAAGCTTTATGCTGTCAATATTACAGTAAATTGTTTGAACATTTTTGGTTTTTACACTTCTCTTTCAGATATTTACCTTTTCTTATTATATTTTTGATCAATCCTTGTGCTTTGCTGAATTTACTTAATTTCCTTCTGATTACACTGACTTCACATAAAAATCTGATGTTAGGTCGAGGAAGTTAGTCTTATTTGAGCAAATGCTTCCCAGTATACTCATGCTTCTACTTGAATAATATTATTTTGAATTAACGGTAAAGTAACAAAATAAAATAAAAATTGTGACCAGTCCACCTATCTCTCATTGTAATGCAAAAAAGGGAAGTGATATCATTGATTTTGGCACTACCTTCCATAGTCGCTTTCTCCTTCTCCATGTGACCCAGTTGTTTGAGCAGCTTTCTTCTCTTCTTTCCAGACAATGTGATGTTTGCTCTTGGACTTGACCTTAAAAACAAATCCATACAATATTTTAAGAACTGGTATGTTTTAAGTGATTTTTTGCCATTTATATTATAACACATCATATTATATTATGACAAATACATATTGTTTACTGATGCCAACAAAACTGATAAGCAGAAACACACTTTCTCTTCTTCAGGTGATGGATAGTGATAAGCCCTTCATCGACCACAGCTCCCACGATCTTGTGTTTCTTTCTTTTTTCTCGACCCAAAACTCGCCGCCGCTTAAAAAGCTTTTTTCCCAATTCCTGTTAAAAGAATCAAAATGTAATTTGATATTTTTTCTTTCAAATATTGTCAGATTTTAGAAGTGGGCAACAAAATGTATGCAAATAGATTATAATATGCAATAATATACAAATAATAATAAATAAAACCAAAAAGAGGTAATGACCAGCTGTAAGAAGGGCTCGATCTTTGTGATTCCTTTTCTTTTTTTTTTGTTTTGGAACCATTGGTCTAAAATAAAACCATCATGTTGCTCGTCAGTGGGATGCAAAAAAAAATAATGTGACAAGACTGATATAAATATACATTAGTTACAGATAGCAGAATATCTTTGGATCTGTTTCTCTTTTTTTGCCATTTGTTATCAAGTACTAAAGAAATTGTTTTAGAGTCCAAACCATGGTACTGTGAAGACCACGCTCTTGCTTCAACTATGAGTAGCAAAAGGAGAAGTTCAATTTGTCACCTGGACAAAAGTTTATTAGGTTGAATGTGCAGCTCATCCAAGCTGCTTCTTCAATTCTGGTGAGAATGCTGGTGGACACTTCCTTATATCTGGCTGAAGGGAGGACCAAACTACAATGAAACTACTCTGAAACTAACACACCTACCTGTTTACAGTTTCTGTTAGCTAGGCCTACTGAACTGCACTGAGTGTGGGATCATATTAGCATAACCATTCAGGGGCATAAGGGGTGCTTTCACACCTCTGGGCCTGACCTGGCTATCCCTGCTGTTTTCTTTGTTTGTTTTGATTTAGGTTGGAGGATGGAGTTGTAAATAGGAGACAGATGGTATCTGAGTCCTCCATTTTTGTTCAAAGATGGATTGTCTTTCCTAACAAAAATAGCTTCTTTAACTCTCCTCTCAAACCAAACCAATTCTTTTCTCTGACTAAGATCTGTACCTCACTATCCTCAAAGGAGTGGCCCATAGTTTTTAGGTGGAGATGTGCGGCAGACTGAGGTCCATTGCTGCTCTCTCGTCTGTGTTGGTACATCCTCTTGTGAAGTAGCCGTTTTGTTTCTCCAGTGTAGTGCTCTCTGCAGTCCTTGCTACACTGAATAGAGTAGACCACATTGTTTTAATTGTGGCTCGGTGTTTAGTCCTCTGGGTGACCAGTTTCTGTCTTAAAGTGTTTGTAGGTTTGAAATAGGCTGGGATCTCATGTTGTCTGAAAATCCTCTGTAGTTTTTCAGAAACACCAGCTATATAAAGAAAAGTTACCCCCTTTCTCTTGGGTTCTGATTATCTGTTGTCCTGTTTTTTTGCTCTCTTTGTTTTATCGAAAGTCCATTATTACAGTTAACAAAACTGTAAACAGGTAGGTGTGTTAGTTGCAGAGAAGTTTCATTGTAGTTAGCTCCCCCCTTCAGCCAGACATGAAGACAGACGTGTCCACCAGCATTGTGACCATAAGTGAAAAAGCAGCTTGGATGAGCTGTGAAACGTATTCGAACAAATAAACTTTTGTCGAGTCGACAAATAGAATTTTTCCTTTTGCCATGGATTACACCTGGACGACTGAGAGATTTTACACTCAACTATGAATAGTTTGAAAAGTTGTATTTCTCCCATAAAACATAATTAAAATGTAAAAGAAAACTAAATTATCATTACCATTATCTAATTTTTGAAGATTTAAAAGCGCACAATATATCCCAATAACCTAGCCAATCATTTGATCTCAATTACAAAAAGGAAACGTGTGTACGTACACAGCCAGCAGATGTCGCTATACACATGTGAAATATAAACTTTTCCATATTTGATTAATTGCCTTTCGTCAACAAGAAGTCTCTTTATATTAGAACCATGGATCTATAATAAAAAAACAGAAGCCAGAGAGAAGACTCGAACCTCACAATTAGCATACACTGTTGTTTCTATCTTATTGCAGGACACTGATATGTACTGGCAGGCTACTTATTACGGGCAGTGCTACATATTAATGCAGCACTTTTATATCTGAGCTCCTCTTTTCGTCGAGTTGAATAGTATAATTTGGCCAGTACAAAATATTCGTCTCTTACGGTTTTTGGTCTGTTGATCTTTCCTCCTGGAGCCCCCATGCTGCTGAAAAACACCTCACGTGGGTTGATTCTTCTTTGCCTCTTCGGAAAAAACAGTCTATTGGGTTTCCTCAATAGTGCCCTCTCTGGTTCGGTGGAGCATTACCTGACACAAAACATGCTATTTTTCAAGCATTTAGTATTAGACTCTGTTATGTACATAATTATTTTGTATTTGCTTTCATTGTAATACGCAGTGTTGATCTAAAATTGCGTAATAACAAAGGCAGGTCCATTCATTTCTTGTTCAACTTGCAGGACTGAGAGAAGCAACAGATTTTTATTTGTTTTTACAGGTGAAAATTTGTTGGTGACACTTTCAACCTTAAATGTATCACCGGCAGTCTGATTGTATATGCTGGTAAATTCAGAGAAGAAGTGGGCAGAGATGGGGGGGTTGGTGACCTGACCTCTCAAGCCCTGAATGCAGGTAAACTAATTAGGGAAAAGAAAGGTTCAAAATTCTTAAAAGTTGAGATTTTTCATAATGTCTAAACTTGTCTAAATTTTCATAAACCTTTACTTCTGCAGTCTCCACCATCTGGTTTAACTGTGGAGAGAACATGATGTTGCTGCATGGCTGAGTTGTTGAAATAGGGAGACACAACTTAATTAATCAGACACTGTCAAATATTTAATTTGTTCAGTAATCTCAGTGCAAGTGGCAAAAACAACAATATTGAACCAACAATAACACATTATGTACACATGGGAACTTTGGCATTGAAAGTAGGCTACAGCTGATTGTGGAGACACCAGAGGTAACATACAAACATAAAGAAATAAGGACACATCCAGGAAACACAGCAGCAAAGAAACAAAAAACAGATAAAAGTGTGGAGACAAATGACAATAACAGACTCAGCTATCATCATTTTCTTCATTTAAACATATTAATGGTATATATATTTATATTATATCTAAAGTGCATTATGGTACAAAAATATAGAAGGTCAGCAGCACCTCGATACATTTACAAAATAAATACACCATTCAGACAAAATAAATTATTGTAAAAAATCTGACATGGAATAAAAAAAAGAAAAAGTAGGATTTGCTACCCCACAGATAATCAATAACTTTGTATTATTTTTTAGTTATCCATTCAGCTATTTTCTCAAATATTTACAAATAATAAATATTTTCCTATTTCTTCCAAACAATCACTTTTACAGATGACTGTAAGATGAGTTCAGGAGTCTGCCCCACCGACTACCTGCTGTTTTCTGAAACAGGCACACACATAAAATATAATACAAATGGTTAGCAGGGGTTACCTTTTATAATACAGCATCACAAAAGTCTATAGTCTATATTAATATTCACCTTTGTCAGAGTCTGACAGCGTTTTAATGCAGCGCCCTCTGTAGGCCTAGCAGAGACCTCCACTCCATGTGTAGTCCGCTGCCGTGGTCCTCACGCAAATCCCACCCGAGTGAGCGCGCTCGCCTCTTTCTTTTCTCTCCTTCCCGCCTTTTCCCAGATCTGCCTTTCTTCTTCTTTTTGCCTGTTACCTTGAGCCCTCCATCTTTGTATGTTTGCGACTTGTTGGTCTCTTGTGGCAGATTGGTGCCCTCCTCTTCCTCCAGCCTGAAGCTGATGGGCAGGTTCTTGGTTCCTCCAGGAGGTTTGGAGTGCAGTGTGCTGCCCGTGGTGCTCAGGTTCATGTCCAAACTTACTCCAGGCAGGGCCCCGCCAGCGCCGCTTGTACTGCCCCCACCGCTGGTCGTCCGAATGGGTAAGTCACGGATCTCGGCCGTGTGGACCTCGTCCAGAAGCTCCTGTAACCACAGTCGTCGTTTAAAGTCTTGAAGCGTCCGCCCTTTGTCGTGCATCAGCTGGGCATGTGTCACAGAGCGTTTTCTGTAAAACAAAACAAAGTTGTTGATATATTACTTTGTCAGTCCACAATAAAAAGGTGAGGATGGAGAAATCTGTTCAGAATCTAGTCTGAGCAGGCTGTAATTGCTGTCTACAAGGCAATAATAAATGCCTCTACATTAGTGAAAGTGTAAAGGGACAACTTGAATTCTGAAAATGAAACTGGTAGGCCAGTATTTTTCCACAAAATAAAGACCTAATCTCACATTGAGCTGAGTTGGAAATATAAAGTACAAGATTGAAAGAGGGACTTAAAATGGATAGTTTGGCAATATTGGTCATTAGAAGAGGAGCCACAATATGCAGTGCTCTGATTCCCATACATGGGATCTGACCCATTCTCTCTCACATACAGAACAAGGAGAGCTTTGCTTTGCCGCAGGGTCACATTACTCACAATCTTAACTCCTATAAAAACAGACACACAGAGTGCACGGTTTGAACCCTGGGAACAACGACTCCACCTTGCCGGCCAAACACTTCAGGTGTCTAAGCACACAAACAGAGCTTCACCAGCTCTGTGGAGGTGAGTAAGCCTTTCCCATCATGCCCTGGTTTATCTGAGGGGCGTGTGTCTCCAAAGTAGTCATATCAATTTAAGAACTTTTTGTGAGGATGTCTTTTACATTTGAAGTCAAAGAGTGTTTTTCTGTTGAATAATGAAAACACCCTGAACAGAACTGACTCACATGTTATAATTTGAAAGTCACTGTTTTTACGCATACAGATATTTCCTGAAAATCTTAGAAATATTCATAGGCTAAATAACTGCCCATCTCAGCTGGAGTTTCCTAAAAGTCAGGGTCATATCTCAGCTGTCTCTTAGACTGCTCATAAAGTATAATTTAATATGATAAAAATCATATGGAACATGACATCATTAATACTACTTCTTGATAATTGATTTCTACTTTTTCAATAATTGAAATGTCAGATTTGAATAATTTAATTTACTTTTTTTCGAGGCAAAGTTGCACCCATGTTTGATAAAATATAAACAAATTGTGTCTAACTTCTTACTTTAATTAATTTACTGTGTTCGGGGGTCAGAGATCAACAACTTCCAATGTTAAATTATTACACCTTTCATCTCTCTTTTCTTATAATAACTCATGTGTCAAGGCAGTGATTTACGGCTTCTACCGAGGTTAAGTGCAACAAAAAGTAGAATGACAAATTAATCTGCATTTCTATCCAATTGATAGGATAAAACAACAAAACCCCTTGGATGTGAACCAAATACTGCAGGGTTTGGGCTTTGAACAAATATGAATCATATATTTTTATTTCAGGGCAGCATCCTACAGAGACAGGCCAAAGAGGTCCAAATGTGTCAAGTGTCAGGAGATGGGATATTAGAGCAAACACAACCTTCCTCCTGGGGTCAGCCAGTTTCTGCCTCAGCGCGGTGAGTTTATCGCACTGAAACGCTCCCTGCTTTAAGTCAACACACAGGTGGGCCAGGGCTAACTAAACAGCTGCCAGAAAGTTTAACAAATGAACACATTTTCCATCCTCTGCCACCCAACCAGAGTGAAAGTACAGCCTCTCATAGTTTAGTCTGCTTTCAGGAGCTCAAAGTAAATTTAGGATTCTAGATGAGCAATGATACATAAAAAGGGCTTACATTCTGTTGCTCAGTGCATCAATGGGTCGCCCGTAATGTGGCACTGGGGAACAGAGTAAGAAGAGGGCAAAACACCACTGCTGTAGGTCTCTTCTGGAGAACAGCATCTTGAAGGAGTTTCTGTGTGAAAATAAACAGAAAATACTTTATTTTTTGACTTACTTTTAAACAGTAAATATACTTTAGTATATTTAAAACAGCTTAAAATGTCTATCTGAACTTCAAAATGTGAAATGTATGCAGTAACAGAAATCTTCCCTGCCGTCTATACACATGCTATCCCAGATCACTGAATCTTGAGTCTTCAGAAACAAAATGCAAAAAAGCAAAAAAAAATAAAATGTTTTGAGTCAAACTTACATTTTCACAGTGTCTTGCACATAAAAAGCAAAAATACAAAAAGGAAATAATAAAAAAAACACTGTAATTTCCCAATGTCCACTGTTTAATTTTTCTATTTCAGCTCTGATGCCAAATGTCTATTAATCCAGGTTTTGAGAACAGAAATCCCAGTTCAAAATCCAAAAACGTTTTATAGTTCCTCTGTTTTCAAACTCCTCAAAAGTTGGAGTTGGAGAGGTGTCTTGATTTGTCCTGGTGTCCCACAGAGCGCGTCTCTGTGTAATGTGTGTTCTCCCACTGCTGTAGGTCAATGTGATGGGAGCGCTGGCTGCATGCTGTCTGAGCAACTTGGCAGGTCAGAGGCTAAGGAAAGGGGAGGACTTAACAACAAAGAGGTGGGTCTCCATCGTGTGTCTGCCCTGATTGAGTGGAAGAAGAGTACTGGTTGGACAATGACAGGTAGGTGGCGCCCAAGCAATGTAAAACTAGGCTTTCTTAATAAGCAACTTACAGTCTATGATGCTTGATTAGTGCCATATTTTTCACTATGCCCTCATTTATTTTGTACAGTTAAATCTGTATTTGATTCTATGTTTTATTAGGCACAAACTAAGAAATGTGCATAGTTTAGTAATATTAGTTTGGTTTATATCATGATTTTGCACTACTCCACTGGCCTCCACATGTTTTGAGGTTCTGTCATACCTGCTGATTCACACTGACAGAATCCTAGGCTCTAGGGCACTGTTGATCTTTGAGTGGTCACTAGTCCTCATAAAAAGTCAACTTTGAGACATTGACATCCAGATTTCTATACACATTTGTGTCTACTTCAGTGAGTGTGTCTTTGATTAATCTGATATATTGTTGTAATTAGCTGTCTTGAGCCTCAACACATAAAAGGAAGCAGATTTAGATTACAAGAGTCTAATGTGGTGTAATTGAATCATGACGAATATGTGTGAGGGCGGAAACCTATTTCTGAATTAAACGCATCAATTAATTCTGTCACTGCTCACTTAGTTATATTATGCAATTGTCTTTACAGAGTGTAATTAATGATCTTTGCATTGTAAGATGAGTTACATAATTCTGCTGCTTCCTTTTCGTGTTCCCTCCACTATCATAGATGTGTCAGTGGGACATTCTTGGTTCAATAGAAAATCACACATCCCTGCTTTATTTTGTTTTTACGTCACACATGTTCATGGTGACTCATCTGACCACCCCAC